TCCACTGCTTTGCATTGGGCAGCCGTAGAAGAAGAGGCGACCCAGCCGTAGGAACCTTTGCTTACTGCCCTCATGCGGGCGGCACCGAGCTTGACGTCATGAGCCACAAGAAGAAGACGGATGCGATGGCAAACTTGCTGAGCAGCTTCCAGCAGTTCCAATTCCTTCGGGCGAGCCTCGTGACCATTTGTACCCGCCGTACAACTGTACAACATCCCAAGAAAACCGCGGTGTCGGTCATTGCCCGGAGCAGCAGGGCAGCAGGGGGTCATCGGCCACATGGGGCTGGAGATCGCGATGAGCCTCGCCGCTAGAATATGTGAACTGATTCTTGGCTTGGTTTTCGCGAATGCCGGCACTGAAACTGTGCCATGTCCTTAGGGTACCCACCAACATGGCCGCGAAGTGGAAGTCCAGGAACGATGGTCCGTATACAAATAGAGAGCACATCGACATGGAGTCGCTCGTTTGGGCCAGCTGGTCGACTGGCCGACTGGCCGCCGTGTAATTGAAGCCGGCAAGTATGACGATTTTCAAGGCAACTGGTGACATAGCATCATTTTGCGGGACGGATATGTCCGTCTCGAGCGGCATAGGGCTTGGGCTTGCTCCCTTCATCCTTCATCGCAGTATAGGTTTCTAGTTTGTCCACTTGTCCCGAAGTGTGTTCGCCAAGTTTTCCGATAGGCCCAGCTTCTTCATTCCCAGTGTAATCGCCCGCGGGGTAACATGATCGAAAGCGTGGGAGTAGTCCAGCGATGCCAGGTAACCTTGTTCAAGTAGAGCAACTTGAAGTTTGGCTGCAAGTTCTTCCACGCCAGGGCTGTCAACTCTTGCTGGAATTGAGGTTAGCATAATTATATAATCGTCTACCTTTACGATTGGACCAACGAGCTTCAAGCGCACGCTGAACTCCACCAACGGCACCACAAAGAATAGTGGCGGGTGCACCCCACCAACCTGCAGGCCACAATGCGGAAATGCATGTAATTCTGAATTCTGTTCCCACTATTGGCCGTAGAGATCCGCCCTTAAAGAGCTTGATGGCATGTCATGGATCCCGGCTCCGGAGCATGTTTGGGTAAAGGCGAATCAACGAACTCGCCCTTCCCAAGCTTTCGTCACAGTCGCACGCACTGTGTCCACCCCAGCCGAGGGCTTAAATGCCAGAAGGTAGTGCCGCAGGGGCAAGAAAATAACTTTCGTGGTACCAGGGCATCTGCGGTTTCCACGAGCATCCATGCTGGCCAAAATAATGACACTCATGGTGCATGAGCAATCGGTGTGCACGTGCATCAATGCTGGCCAAGCCTATAACTTTGGCGTTATCAGAGCACACGGTGTCTTCGGGCATCCATGCTGGGCAAGATCAAAGCATTTGCGTACAAGATAAAGACGTCCGTGTTGCTGAAGCATACGGCTATTGCAAGCATCCATGCTGGCCAAGATTCCAAGGTAATATGGGCCCCATTACCAGAGCATGCGGTTTCCACGAACATCCATGCTGATCAAGATAAATACGTTCATGTTGCAGGAGCATTGTTCGCAGCTTCGGGGTTGCCAAGGCTTATCTCCATGTCTGCTGGTACTTTGCGCGGCCCTAAGACACCGCGATCGGCTTTGTACGTGTGCCCTGGAAAAACTACAGTAGTAGACAGGTAGTTCGTAAGGGGTTTTTGCCTACCTGAAGACGACATATTTTTTGGGCTGATCCCTCCAAGTACTGTAACTTACAGTACTGTCCTACGGTGTCCTCATTTTTGGGATACGCAAAAGAAACCTACAATCAGTTCAGAGCGCGACGCCTAGCAGCAGCAGCAGCAGCAGCAGCAGCAGCAGCAGTAGTAGTAGTAGTAGTAGTAGCAGCAGCAGCAGCAGTAGTAGTAGTAGTAATAGTCGT